CCCCCCAAGGTGAACCTCTGGGTTGCGCTTCACATTCCAGGGCTCCCTGTGAGACCAGGCTGTGGCTAAAGCTCTCCTGAAACACCTTCTGGGTGGCTAGTTTCTCTCCCCACCCTGTCCTGCTTTCCTCATTCCCCTGCAAGTGTTTCCTGAGAGTCTTCCCTCAATAAATTATTCACACAAGAGTCCTCTTATCAAGTTCTGCTTCTACAAAAACTGCTGGAGGGGAGGTGGATGGGGTAACTGGGTGGTGAGCATTAAGGAGGGCATGTGATGTGATGAGCACTGGGTGTTATATGCAACTGATGAATTATTGAAAACTTCATCTGAAACTAATGATGTACTATATATTGGCTAATCGAATTTAAATTAAAAAAAGAAAAAGAAACTGAACAAAAGCAGACAGTAATCCTTATTTTGGTGCATTTTTTGTTTTGTTTATATCTTTTTCTAAGAAGATAATAATTGTAAAACTAAATGCAAACAATGCAGAAGCATATAAAATTAAAAATGAAGAGTTCTCAGTTCCCCATCCTTATACCCAGGGGCAAAAGCTGCCTAAAGCTTAGATCCCCCTTAGCTTAGAGGGGATCTCCTCCAGCATAGATACTCTTCACAGGCTCAGTCAAGCAAGTATATTATTAAATTGGAATAAGTTTATAAATTCATACAGTTTTATTAACACAAGTGAGATCATATAATATACAATCTGTTGTGCTCTCCAAAATAGTAGATACTAATCATATATGGCTGCATTTTAATCTATGAGAATTGGGGCGCCTGGGTAGCTCAGTTGATTTAGCCTCTGCCTTTGGTTCAGGTCATGGTCTTAAAGTCCTGGGATCAAGCCCCACATCGAGCTCCCTGCTTAGCACGGGAGTCTACTTCTCCCTCTCCCTCTGCCCTTCCCCCGATGGTGCTCACACTCGCTCTCTCTTTCTCTCTCTCTCTCTCACCTTCTTTCTCAAATAGATAAATAAAATCTTTAAAAAATAAATCTATGAAAATTAAATAAAATGAAGCATTCCATTCTTTGATCCAATTAGCCTTATTTCAATTGCTCAGTAGCCACTTGTGACTGACTAGCGACTACAGTAGATCCAGAACGTGTCCATCATCGTAGAAAGTTCTGTTGGAAAACCCTGTCATACTCTTACTTGCTTTTTCACTTAGGAGTAGGTCTTGCAAACCAAGGGCAGCAAATTGGTCAAGCATGGAAGCTGGGTGATGGGTACATGGGAGTTTGCTGTACTATTTTTCCCTACCTTTGAATGTCTAAATATTTCTATAATAATAAAAGAAGGATATGTTTGGGGCAACTTTCCAAACCAGTCCATACACACCTAACTCATACTTTTAAAAAAATTTATTTATTTATTCATGAGAGACACAGAGAGAGAGAGAGAGAGGCAGAGAGATAGGCAGAGGGAGAAGCAGGCTCCCTGCAAGGAGCTGGATGTGGGGCTCAATCCTGGGACCACAGGATCACAACTGGAGCTGAAAGCAGATGTCCAACCGCTGAGCCACCCAGGCATCCCTAACTCATGCTTTTGAACAGCTATGTAGGTTCCGCTGTGTCCATGGGCATTAACTGTCCCATGGACACAGTGGCTTGGTAGTCAAAGGTCAAGCAGAAACTCCACACTCCCCTTTCCATGGTCTGGAACTGTCACTAGCAGGCAGCTTACCTACCACAGACTACATGTCTCTGCTCACCTTGTGTCCAGGTATGGTCATGTGACTGTGAGCAAATATGACATGCATCATGCATATTCCCTCCCCCTATGATCTACAGAAGACTCTGAGCCCCTAGCGTAGCTGAGCCACAAGACAGAAGGAGTCCAGGTCTCTGAATTACCACTTTGAGGAAAGGCACCCACTGGCCAGAAATATCTACGTTGGACTCTTAAACAAACAAAAATTAAATTTCTTTTTATTAAGCCATGGACAGCTCTGGGTTTGTTACAGTAGCTAGGGTTATCCTGACAAACACAAGGTTTTATCCAACCAGTACCCTCAGGTAAGCAATGACTGTTTATTCCAAGTTGTTACGAGAATAGTGTAACGTGCATATCCTTGAATGTATGGCGAGGTATCTCTGTATGTTGTACAAATATCTCTTTGGAATAAATTTCTGGATTATGAATTGCTGTCTCAAAGTGTATATGCATTTTTGAAAGATTTTATTTATTTATTCATGAGAGGCACAGAGAGAAGCAGAGACATAGAGGGAGAAGCAGGCTCCTCACAAGGAGCCTGTTGTGGGAATCGATTACACCCTGAGCCAAAGGCAGAGGCTCTACTACTGAGCCACCCAGGTGCCCCATGTATATGCATTTTTATAGTATTTTATTAGGGATGATATATAGAGAAAAGCACAAATATCGTAAATGTGTGCTTTGATGAACTATCATAACCTTTCCTGTGCTTATGCACTTTTTATTCCATAGTGCCCAGTCTTCTCAAATGTTAAGAAACTCACATTTACAAATTCCTTGTATGTGCCTCAACTATATCTCTTGCACTCTCTATGTGGGGTCGTATTCTTTCTTTTATTTATCTATCTACCTAACTTGCCTGTGCTGTGTCAGGCCCAGGCTGGATCCCAGAACTGTGGAGACTGATAAAATGACTTCTTCACCAGCCAAGGACTTTCTGGATTCAATAATAATGATCAATTTTTGTAATCCAGGTGACCTTTTTGGAAATACAATGATATAAAGACTTCTAACTCTGGGAAATGAAATAGGGGTGGTGGAGGGGGAGGAGGGTAGGGGGTGGGGGTGAATGGGTGACGGGCACTGAGGGGGACACTTGACGGGATGAGCACTGGGTGTTATTCTGTATGTTGGTAAATTGAACACCAATAAAAATTAATTTATTAAAAAAAAGGAAATACAATGATATGATTTTCTCTTTTCCACTTATATGGATGTGAACCTCCCTTCCAACACATTCTGCCAAAGGATTTACTCTCATTCAGGAAAAATTAAGATGTCTTAGCAGCAGGCATACAGGAAAACAAAACAGTAATGTTCAGGTTTTAAATACCAAACTGGATATTTGGGTTCCAAGCAAGACAATAGTCTTGAAAGCAAAGCCTTATAAGATGAATGAGTTTTGGGTATCTAGTATACAGCATGGTGACTCTGGTTAACAATACTCTATTATATACTTGGAAGTTGTTATGAATAGATCATAAATATTTTTACCAGAAAAAAAAAGTAATTATGTGAGGCAATGAAGAAATTAGCAAACACTATGATGGTAATCATTTCTCAATATATGTGTACATCAAATCAACCTGTGTATACCTTAAACTTGCACAATATTAAATGTCAGTCATATCTCAATAAAATGATTTTTCAGGGACACCTGGGTGGCTCAGTGGTTGAGCATCTGCCTTCGGCTCAGGGCGTGATCCTGGGGTCCTGGGATCGAGTCCCACATCGGGATTCCCAAAGGGAGCCTGCTTCTCCCTGCATCTGTGTCTCTGCCTCTCACTTGGTGTCTCTCATGAATAAATAAATAAAATCTTCATTAATAAAGATTTTATTAACTTATTTATTTTTGTCTATTTTTATTGGAGTTCGATATGCCAACGTATAGTATAGAATTCAGTGCTCATCCCGTCAAGTGCCCCCCTCAGTGCCCGACACCCAGTCACCCCACCTCCCCCTGCCCACCTCCCCTCTTTAAAAAAAATGATTTTGCAGTAGCCAGGCTTTGAGTACTGGAAGGTAAAGCTTTTATTAAGCTGTGGTGTAAAGGAAATACCTATCACAAGGGAAAAGAAAAAATTTGGGGATGCTAATACAGAGAGATGAGAGGGACCCACCAGGACCCCCATTCCTCTGCTACCTCACCTCAGAAACTTCCAGATAGGAATGGGTGAAATTAGGGGTATCAAGGCTAGGGACTGACTTCTCCCAACAAAAGCCAGGTGGAGTTTCCCAGCCTAGAAGAGAGGCTTGCTTTCTGTTGCTGTCACATCCAACAGGGTATTAAAGCCAAAGATTAGAACCCACAGAGGGAGGTAGCTAGTAGGTTGTCCAAGAAAACTCTTTTGGTTTTCTATAGCCTGAACATAGAAAGCAGAAGCTCTTGCATGGACTCCCAGGGGGTGCAGAGCTGCTGAGAGGACTACCAGAAAGTAAGGTGAGTCCATGTTGTACCAGTAGACAAAACACCCCATCCAGAGTCCCCCCTTGACAGCCACAGGATCTTGTAAGTTGTCCCTATACTAACACCCAGTAGCCATCTTGAGAGGACCAAGATGAAGGTAGGAAAGATTCATTAAGGAGGGCACGTGATATGATGAGCAGTGGGTATTACATGAAACTGATGAATTCCTTAACCCTACATCTGAAACTAATGATGTACCACTATATGTCGGCTAATTTAATTTAAATTAAAAAAAATTTTTGAAAGATCAATTCTTTGTACAACACAGAGTTTCCCCAAATAAGGCTGAGCCAGGAAGCTGAGTCATTAAGAACACTAAAAACTGGCAATGTTTTTCCTCTCCATCCAGTAGGAGCTTATGTAAAAGACGGGAACACCCAATACATTTTAAAAATGGATTTTTTCCCACATGAGTTGTGGTTTGAGTAAATTCCATTCCCATTCCCACCATACTACCATTTATGAGGCTCTTATCACATGTACCCGGTGGTTAACAAAGTTACCTACTGCAATTTAAGCTTCACAACATCCCTGTGGGATAGGAACCCATGTTGACTATATTTCACAGCTGAGGAAAGTAAGAATCAGAGAGGTTTTGTGTGACTCACTTGAGGTCACACAGTGAATCCAAGGCACAAAGATAAGAGCCTGAAGCAGGAACCCGGAGACCTGGATATTATTTATCCCTTGCTCTGACACTACGTAGCTCCCAGCAAGTGTTCAGCTGTGGCTCAGCCTCCTGAGACAGAAGGGTCTCCTTCCCAGAAAACATCCTCCCTCACATTGAGCATATGGATTCTCTTTGACCAACTTACCAACTGCCATTGATTCCAATGAAAACATAACCCAGATGAATATACCACAATACCCTGTGAAAAAAGAAAATAAAAATACCATGAACCATCAAGAAGCAAGATGGACTCAACCTGAAAAAGTACTCCTGGAATGGCCTCATATAAACAGGTTTGATGAACCTAGATGGGAGATCCACCTGGAGTGATAAACATACAATATTTCACGTAATACTTACAGCAGCCATTCCTGTTTTTCTGCACTCTGTGTTTTTCATTTTGTTTGTATCATCTTCGTTTTCTTTTCAATTACAAAAAAAAAGTCCCAGCTGATTTTCAAAAATGTACACTGAAACATGTATTCTCAAAAGAAATGACATCTCCCCCATAGAGGGCAAAACTTGGTTCTTAGGGAGAGATGAAAAAAACCTACTGTTTTTTGTATGAGACATATATAGAAATAATACATGTAATAATACATAAATAGGGGAGCCTGGGTGGCTCAGTGGTTGAGCATCTGCCTTTGGCTCAGGTCATGATCCTGGGGTCCTGAGATCGAGTCTTACATCAGGCTCCCTATAGGGAGCCTGTTTCTCCCTCTGCCTGTGTCTCTGCCTCTCTCTGTGTGTCTCTCATGAATAAATAAAATCTTTAAAAAAATACTTTAAAAATACATACATAGATGTACAGTATATCCGTAGCATTAAAATGGCATGGATGGTCAAGTGGTTAGTTTTTAAAATGTCTAAAAGGCAGTGCAACTGCCCCAACATTTAGCTCTTTTCTGACATTATTCCATGACCCCCACAACCACCACCATCATTCCCATGACCACTGTCCAACCTCCAGCACTCCCACCACTACCCCACCATCCCCATGACCACCACCCCCACCATCACCCCCACCATCCCCACCATCAATGTTGTCATCACTACTCTTTGCTGATTAACTTCAGGGAAGAACAAGGGGCCTAATAGCTAATACCAGTGCCAACACCCCAAAGCGCCAACTTGGCATTCCTGCATTTGGAGTCCATGAGTTATCTGCAACTTCTCTAAAAAATTTTATTTATTTATTTATTTATTTATTTATTTATTTATTTGTTTGTTTGTTTATTTATTTATTTATTTATTTATTCATTCATTCATTCATGAGAGACACAGAGAGGCAGAGACACAGGCAGAGGGAGAATCAGGCTCCCTATGGGGAGCCCGATGTGGGACTCGATCCCAGGACCCCAGGATCACACCCTGAGCCAAAGGCAGATGCTCAACCACTGAACCACTCAAGTGCCCCTTACCTGCTTCTTCTAATGACGCCTGCCAATTAACAAGTCCCACAGACTCAAACTCTTTTTTTTTTAATTTTTATTTATGATAGTCACACAGAGAGAGAGAGAGAGAGAGAGGCAGAGGGAGAAGAAGGCTCCATGCACCGTGAGCCCAACGTGGGATTCAATCCCGGATCTCCAGGATCGCGCCCTGGGCCAAAGGCAGGCGCCAAACCGCTGCACCACCCAGAGATCCCTCAAACTCTTGATATTCCCATTCATTACCACCAACCAAAATTCTTTTGCTCATTAATAATTTTAGAGGGAACAGAGCATTGTTTTTAAGCATACCGACTCTGGTGTCAAATGCTTGGGTTTAAAAAACTGGCTTCACTAATTGCTGACTACATGGATGTGGCAAAGTTATTTAATCTCTTTGGGCCTAAGTTTTCTCTTCCACAAAGAGATGCACTGGGCCACAGCCAAGGAAGCCTGCACTTATTGCTCAAAATGTTGTCCCTTGTTCATAGATTTGAAGCGGTAACTAAAACTTGAAAGATAGGAAGAAAATCACAACATAGACCATAAATAAAACCAGTACAAACTGACATTTGAAGAAAGGGAAATAAGAGAATAGACAGGAAGTCTCCACCTCATGGTTCAGGCCTCAGCACAAATGTCACCCCCTCTGAGAGGTCTTCCCCGACTTCCCTCTTCAACATAACCCCTGGTCACTCTCTTCTTTTGTGGCACTATCACTGCCTGACATGCTTTTGTGTACTTATTATTTGGGATAGCATAGTGTAGTGATAAGCAATAAAGTTTACACATCCTGGAGCCAAACTGCTGGCTCTACCCCGTTTAGTTAAGTCGTTTTGGGCAAGTCATCTAATATCCTTTGCCTCAGTTCTCTCCTTTGTAAAATGGGACTATTAGTGACCCAGTATTGGAGGAGTTTTGTGAAGATATTTGAAGAACTTACAAGGATGGTAGATGGGTGGTTGCCGTCATGGCCAGTGACTTTTTTTCTATCTGCCCTTCCCATGAGGATGTCAGCCTCATGACAACAGGAACTACTTGCTTACCACTGCTCTCCCCTCAGTACCTACAGCAGCACATAGTAGGTGCTCAGCAAATACATGTCAAATGAATGACTATAAATAAAATCTTCCCTGACAGATGGAATTCCCTATCCTGAGTAATTTTTGCCAAAGATCTCCCAATGAAGGTATTGGCAGTGTCTAGCCTAGAATTGGGGTCTCAGGCTGATCACCCCATGGCCCTCCCTTTTTCCTACAGTCTATATCTAGCGCAGGCTTCCCCCAACCCTCCCACCACCATTCGGCCCCATACTTACCCCAGAAGAGGAGCAAGTTGAAGCTCCACATGATGCCCTGCTTCTGTCATTCAAAGAACAGAACCTTTCCTTCATTCTGAGACTTTTCTGTAAACAGAGGGTGTAGGAACAGGGGAGGGGTGGAGCCAGAATTGCTCAATACCACCAGAGCAAGACAGCTTTTTTTGCTGAATTGCTGCTAGATGAGGACAGTGTGGCAAGCCCCTATTTTGTCTTTCCACACAGTGAAGAGAAGTTGGTCCAGCTGGTGTGTCACTGTGTCCTCTCTCTCTCTCCAGTCTCTCCCCTTCCATCCATTCTTGCTTTTCTTTCGCTACCAATACTTACCTTCTCAATCTTCTTTCATTGCCCCCAACTATAAATGAGCTACCACCACTTGTCCCCAATGAAGCAAATCTCAGACTCAAAGGTCTCTTCCCAGCATGCCCCACACAAATAACTGTCACAGACATCATGGACCAGGTGTTGTGCTAGACCCATTGCCAACAAAATTTAACTTCATCACCTCACATCAATATCAAGTAAGGATTCTGACCCCCACCTATTTTACAAAAAAATAAATAAATAAAATTAATAAGGAAACTGAGGCATGGAGAGGAGATGGGACTTGTCCAAGTTTACTTGGAGTTGAGATTTTGATCCAGGACCCTTGCTCCAAGGTCTAACACCTGAACCACCCCATCTACCCCCAGCTCTCCTACATCTGACCCCTACACAGCAGCATTCTGCCGCATTCCCAGGTCTAACACACCTTCACATACAAAATCACACACATGGAGGTCTAGTAATCCCTCAGCCAGGGTCCCCAGAAACAGACACTGAAATTCTAGTGAAAGTAGTGCTTCAGGGAGGTGACCCCAGAAGACTCCAGCTGGGGAGGGGGGCAGTGAGATAGGGATGGGAAAGGGTCTCCGGTGGCCATGCCATCTACCAAGTTGGACTGGAGCTCGATCTCACTGGAGACCTCTGAAAGGCAGCCCAGAGTAGTCTTCAGTTACCCCAACAGAGGGGCAAGGAAACTGAGGTATCTACCCCACTAGCTACTGCTGGTCATGGATTGAGGTTTAAGTCAACCCACAACACCTCAGGCCTGGCCTTCAAGCAGAGAGAATGTGCAGAATCTGAGTGTAACCCTGTTGATAACAGAATACAATGACTGATAGTTGTTGGTCCAGTGTGCCCCAGGGCTTGAGGGTCACAGGCACCAAAAGCATCTGCCACAAGCTAAAAATGAGGCACAAAGACCAGCCCCAAGTTCTTGGGAAGAAAAGCCCCACATATATCTGCATTCTCCCTTTTTCTTTGTGCAAAGCAAAAGACCCACCTTGCAACTGAAGATCACTGAAGAAGAGTCATCAATGGTCCCTGTGGGTTCATCAAGGGACCCTGCCTGTTGAGGCTACAGTTAAGAGCCAGCATAAAAACAAAGCAAATTAAAAAAAAAGAGAAAAAAAGCAAATTTCACCAAGAAAGAGGATAAACAAAAGCTGTGTTGTGTTAAGGAGAAGCACTGGAGGATACATAGACTCTAGAACCAGATCACCAAGGGTTCAAATCCCATCTCCTCTGCTTGCTAATCATGTGTGGTCCAGACAAGTTCTTAATCTCTCTGTGCCTCAACATTTCCATTTGTGAAACAGGCCCAATAATAACAGGCCTACTTCACTGGGGCTGCTGTGAGCATCTGTGAGGAGTGGGCACACATGAACAGAGCCTGGCATGCAGGAAAAACGCCAAGTGTTGGCTAATACAGCCACAGAAGCTGGAATCAGATGTAGGCTCAAATTCTTACTCTGCAGGTATTCTCAAAGTGATCTTGGGAAGTAACTTGCCCTTCTGGGCCTCAGTTTTTTCATCTGGAGAACGAAGATAACAATAGGCCATGTCCCAAAGGATTGCTATGGAGGGGACTCCATAATGTGGGGTAATATTGCCCACTGGAAGCAACTTCTGGGGCTTGCATTTTCTTCTATAATCCTTGTTCAATGCATCCAGGTGTGGTCACTAAACAAATGCAGTGGTTTTAACTTCATCCACAAATTCTTTGATATTCTTCCCTTCAAGAAAGGGAGCCTAATCCTGCCCTTCTTGAGGGGTGTGCTGGACTTAGCAAAGGAGAACATGACACTGCTATCTGAGACATCTGAGGTTTAGAGGGTCACTGTGGCTTCCTGCTTGCTCACCCCTTCTGAGATCATTCACGGGGGGGGGGGGGGGGACTCATCACCATGTTGTGAAGACACTCTGCAATAGTGGGGAGAAGCCCACATGAGGAGGAAATGAGGTCTTTAGCCAACAGCTTAACTGTGACCTCACAGGCGGACCCTGATCCAGAACCACCCAGCTGAGCCACCTCCAGATTCCTGACCCTCTGAAACTATAAGAAAACAAAACCTGGTTATCTAAAGCCATCCAGTTTTGTAGTATGCAGCAAGAGACAACTGGTATACCTAGAAGCAATTTTCCCCATCAGCAAATGAGGACACCACCAGTTTCATAGGGTTTGAGGTTTAATGTAATAAAATCACAAAAATCCTGCCTGACACAGATTAAATGCTCAATAATATTCACTGTTATTCTCTAACTTGATCCTCAGGGCACCAGAAGGCATTTCAGTAAGGGAGTGAGCAACAGGCTGGGGCTTTACAGCTGCTGCGCTCTGGACTGGGTGGGAGCTGTGGAGAAGGCTGGGCTGCAACTGGGGAAGAGAAAAGCATGATGGTCTTGCCTACGGCAGGAGCTGTGGAGACAGAGAAGAGTTTAGGAAGCAGGAAAGGTGGAAGTGGGGAAATGTCTGGTGAGCAGGGAGTCTGAGACAGAAGGAATAGCTGACATTCAGAATGGGGACAGACATGGGATGAGGACAGGTGACTTCCCTGCCCCCACTGTAACAAAGCACCACAAACGGCCACTTGAAATGACACCAATTCATTACATTACAGATCTGGAGGTCAGAGTCCCAAGTGAATCTAAGGGGACTGAGTTCAAGATGTCAACAGAGCTGCATTCCTTCTGGAGGCTCCATGGAAATCCATGCCTTATCCTTTCCAGCTTCTGGAGGTCCCTTTCTCTGTCTTCATAGCCAGCAGTGTAGCATCTTCCAATCTCCCTCTCTCTCTCCTTCAATCTCCCTCTCTCATTCTTTCTCTGACCTCCCTTCTGCCCTCTTAAAAGGGCCCTTGTGATTGCATTGGACCCACTCAAATAATCCAGAATTTCTTCTTAACTTAATCCCATATGCAAAGCCCCATTTGCTGGGTAAGGTCACATATTCACAAGTTCCAGGGATTTAGATGTGGACGACTTGGCAGGAAGGAACCTTATAATTCTGCACATATGTGAGTCTGGGGTCCTGGTCAGGGATAGAGGATCACAAGATACCAGTCACCCTTTATTAAACCCCAAACAGCTGACCAAGGCTGTAAAATCTGCACTTCAGAGATCCTGCCAATCCACAGACAGGCTTAGAGGGAGAAGAGGAAGGATGAAGCAGAGGAAATGCAGTTTCTAGACACGTGGCTTGATAAACCTAACCTAAATTTTTCCCAGGAAGGGGGGAAATAAGGGGAAAATCAGATTTAAGAAATCAGCCTGGAGGAGCCCCAGGGGCACCACTCTTCCCCACACTGAATGTTAGCAGAGTCGCTCTAGAACAGCCCTACCCAACTTAACCATATTCCTCCTATACTCTAGATCGTCCTATGGCTCCCTATTATCCTCAGGATGAACTCCAGCCTCATTAACATGGCACTCAAGACCCTGTCTTGTCTTCCACTGGTCTACCCTGCTGCCCTCATTTCTTCCCGTCCTCCCAAAACCATAGTTATCTTAGACCAACTGAAGCCTCTAGAGCAGATGCTCTTGATGCCCTATAGCCACCTCTTAGCAGGTGGAGCACCCATCCCCCAGCTGCTGTGAGTATTGCCTACTAATAGCTCACAGCTTCCCCTTCCCCAGTGTCTCCATAAACCCTCAGACCCAGCCCAGCTAGTAACCCAAGGTCACAGGGCCACAAACGGCAAGCCCCACAGTAAGATCAACTCATGGTGGTATTTAGGTTCCAGGTTCCCCATGGGGTCGGGCTGAGGCGAGCTTCCGATGTGAGACCACCTCTTTACTCAGCTCTTTTCCTCCGTCCCACTTGGTCTCCCTCACCCTGCCTCTGCTAAACACTCTCCCCAGCAAACCCCACAGTAGGGCCCAAGCTCCCAAATCCCCAACAAAGGGCCAACTATGTTAACATTTTTCCAAACAGGTGCATTAGAAAGTGGAGGATCAGTAACGTATCCTCCAGACTGAGAAGGCACCTTAAGACCAAAAAACAAAGCAAGCCACTCTATAGCACTTACACAGAGTTGTGTTCAGGGTAACGTACTGACAGGTGGATTGACAGGTGACTATCCATGGGGAAGACGGTCATTCTCCACAACTACTCTCTGCCCAGTCCAGAAGTAATCCCCAGCTTTTAGGGAGCGAGGGGCATGGCGGTGAGGTCACCGGACAGTTACCTAAAGTGGGGCCTTCTGTGCATCACATTGGGGAAGATCAGAATAAGCCTTCCCACTTCCCGATCAGAGCATACATTAACATCCATGGGGCCTAGAACACATAGTCCCCAGCGAGGTCAGTGCGTAGACATGAGCAAGAGGGAGGGCCCAAGATGGAGTCAGTGTTGTTAGCACTCCTACAAGGTGATATCCAAAATAAAAGATACCTGGTCAAAGGAGGGCACTGACCAATCAGAATGGACACTGGCTGTGAACCTAAGACAAGATCCAGGGGTCACATCTGGTGCTAGCCACCAACCCTTCGGCAGCTGGATCATGGGATATCTTATGGTAAAGGCTAGATATGCTGTTGGCTTGGAGTCACGACTATTTACCAACTAGAACAGAAATATTTCCATATCTTTTTAAGCTTAAGGTGTACAATGTGTTGATTTGATTTGTTTATATATTGCAATCTGATGGCTGCCATAACATTAACTAATACCTCCAACATGTCACACAATTGCCAATTTTTTTTTCTGGTGAGAACATTTAAGATCTAGTATCTTTGCAACCTTCAA